CCCCCCCACCCCCAAGGCATAATTAATTTACAGTTCCTAATGATGTCGGCGGTAATAGTGATGGGACACAACTGCACACTTACCAGCCTTGGTATCGATTTGCACCAGTCCTACATGATTCTCAGGTAAAGCAACCAGTCTACCACATGCCTGAACAAAGAAAAACCATCAACAATGTTAGTATCTTCTTGCCAAATGTACGTCAGGAAAGCCGCATATTCTGCTTCTCTTACGATTGTCTCGTCTTGGTCACTTACCTGATGCCCAAGTTGTACTCTGTCACCAAGCCCTGAAGAAATTGTAAAATATTATGTTATGTCTTTAATATTCATATGCTCTAGCGCATGTGCATAAGTGGCGTGTGTGGCCTCGTGGTATTCGGCCATGTTGAAATTAAACGAGTGAAGTTTGCACATTTTGCTAGTCTGTATTCAGTCTTTTGCGGGTTTCCATACTTTACAATATATGTGTCATGACTAAATGGAAATGTGCTTTTTTCATGATGCACTATGTACACTACCAGACACTATCTGTAGGGGCGTATCCGGGGGGGGTTACAGGGTGCCCGTGACCTTTCCTTTCAAAGCCAAAAAAATCTAACCGGCCGTTAATGTAGTGTGTGAAGATTTGTTTAGACCTAACTTAAGCAGTTAAGAAAATCAGTTTTCTTGCTTCTCGGAGCCGTCTTTTCGTTTCGTTTCCTCTCTATCGACCATGATTCTTTTTCGTCAAAACAATAGATTGCTATAACGTCATACCGACGTCATAGTGACAATTTTGTATGTAAGGACCCCCCCCCCCCATTACAAATCCTGGATACGCCCCTGATATGTTACTCCCAAGGATCAGGACCCAATACTTTTTCCCTCATTCACTTGCACAAAAAGCAATTTGTGGCACGACCTTATGATATTAGGGATGGACCCTTAGATAATTGAGGGTAGGTTGCAGGATTTTTTTGTTGCACGATATTTATTTTTTGTAACAAACACTGCACGCTATTTTTTCTGTGTTTGCTTGATATTTCTTTACTGAATGAAGAGGTTGCGCGATATTTTTTTCGCAGGTGAAGTGCTTGCTCGATATTTTTTGGGGGATTTACGCATCCCCATCCGCAGTTATCTTATCGTCCGTCTCTTGTGATATTTATAGATAAATGAAAGATAAGTTCTCAAGTGTTAAGCAGACATACTTGGCTTTCTTATTCCGGTCTTAGGCCTTGCTGGGCTGGTTCTTGCAGATCTTGTAGGTGATGTTGATGCTCCAGTGGAAGGGCGTACTCTTAATTTCGACGAAGGTTGGGGCTTATCTTGGTTTGCTGGTTTGACTATCAATCGTTTGGACTGAGAAAAAAAGAGAGAAAAATGAATGGATAAATGAAAGAATAAAGGAGAGAATGAAAGAATTAATAAATGTGAAGAAAGAAAGATAGAATGAATGAAAGAAAGAATAAATGAAAGTAAGATGGAAGAAAAAAAAAGAAAGAAAGAATGAATGAAAGATTGAAGGAAGGAAAGAAAGAAAGAATGAATGGAAAGATGGAAGGGAGGAAGAAATATACCAAGCAAGCAGAGGGAAAGAATAAAAGAGGGTGGAAAGAAGAAAGAAAAGAGCAAACCAACGTTAAGGTCCACTCATACAACGTTTCTGGCATCTAGACAATGCTAAATGCGGCACCCATCCGTCCATAACTTGCAAATGCACTAACAGCTAACGCCTGTACGTACCGTTATAATATAACTCGGTTCCATTCTATAGAAAGGATAGTTGTTTTTTTCAAAAACGTCTAAGACTTTTCCTCTGCCTGTTGGAAGAATATTATTGGTCGTTAACTACAACATGATGATGATAACGATGGCGATTCTGTTGGCGGTGGTGATGATGACGCTGTTGGCGACGCTGTTGCTAATGGTTATTATGATAGCGATTATAATGGGGACGATAATCGCGTTGATGACAATGTAGATGATATTAAAAATAATCAAAGATAATCGTCTTTGAAAAATAGAGAGGGTGACAATTGTCAACTAAGCACTGATAAATTTGTGGCTCTCCAAGTTTAACGTATCTAAAAAAATTGGACCGCCGCAGAGGCTTAAACCAACGACCTCCTGGGCCCGGTTGTACGAAGGGTAAATAGCGCTATCCGACGGATAAATCCTTATCCAGTGGATAAATTCATTGGATAACGGCATCGACTTATCCAGTGCAAAAGGAATTATCCACTGAATAGCGGACACAACAGACCGGTGCCCAACCAAGTGAGGTAACCGGGAGGCGTATGAATAATAGGGTTGTGAAAGGGAGACTTACCAGGATTGGGAATCGATGAGCTTGCTTCTTTGGTTTTCTTTAAAAGGAATTGACTAATTTCCTGGTATACTTTATTAGTATCACCCTAAGAAGGGGGAGAAGAAGACAAACAATAAGAGTTACCCTCTATTTTCCCTTGTTCTGCCTCCATTCTCTCTCCCACCCAGATGGACGAGCAAGTGTAGGCTTAGCAAAACCAGTGTCAGAGAGCCCTCAAACCTACAAGGATACATATAATCTACGTATATAGTTTGGGTATATGGGTATATAGTTTAACAGGTTGCAAATAGTAATAGATTTTATAACATACAACTATAATGAACCTTGCTACAAGTGTATTAGAAGCATGGGTGGGGTAGCGGTGGCATAGTGGTATTCCCCTCTCATCAATTAGTGCAACCCAGTTTTGATTTCAGCAATCGGTGCCATATGTGAGTAGAGTTGCTTGTTGGTTCTCTCCTGCGCTTTAAGGGATTTTCTTCTGGTTCTCTGGTTCATTTCCTTACACAAAATAATAATTCTAATTTCCAATTAGAATTTCAGTGGACGAATATTTACTTAATAGCAGAAATTAATGCCACGGCTAAATCCCATTTATTTTCATTATTTATTTATTTTAATAAATTTTGGCGAATATTTAGAATTCATTATTATGTAATTATTATTTATATATTCAATATATTTGATGAATCGCATTTATTATTATTATTATTTAT